GTTGTCTATATTATTATCGTTTATTTCAAGTTTGCTGCAATGATATTTGATATTATTTGTATTTGAGTTTTGGTTTCAGTTTACAAACATACCATTAAAAACTGGCAAACCACAATGAATAATCTGAATGTTTGATCTTAACGCATTAAAATTTCACAATATTTATGTTTTTAATTTAATATAAATAAAACATTTAAATATGCACACGGTTTCATGTAATTTTCATTAACGAATCGATGAGATTAACTCGTTGCTTTTTTATGTTTAATTACACGCTCCGTCCGCACTTCATTCATCCGCTCGAAGTGTTTATAAAGGAAATGTACCGGATGATTAATTGAAGGAAAAAAGAAAAGCGCTCCGGCATACACCTATACATTTGTATGCGTGAAAGTAAACGCAAATAGAAGAAGCATCAGCGGATACTCGCGCTCCGAATATTTTTTGACTGAGTGACAGTATATATCTGGGGCCGAGGGGCGGCTGTCGCAATTTTTTCGCCGTTTTTGCGCGCGCTCAAAAAGAATGCCGGCTAGATGGGAAATCTGAATTTTTCAAGCGTACAAAATGAATCCATTAATTTACATAGCGTGGCAGTTATTTCCACAACGACGATATATGGACGCCAGGGAGTGAGAAACCGACGAAAAGCGCATTCACAACCGCTTTTACTGCAGTGCATGCAAAAAGTGTTTTATTTCAGTTTCGAGTAAGCAAATATTGAGGCAATTGTTTGATTACTTGTTAATCCACTGAAAATCCAATATAGACCATTTCCGAAACAAAACTAGTTTTGAGAAACTTTTTATTGCAATTTTAAAATGCATTTGTAGTTATTTTAAAGTTAATAATTGTTTATGTGTCTAATTAATACCTACCCTGTTGGTTAGAATAAATATTAAACAAGCGGTTTTTATTAAAAAGTCCCAATTCCGGTCGCTCTGTGGAGGCGCCGGGCATCAATGGAACAAACGCGAACGCAAACGCAAACAGAAAATGTAATTATGCGATGGTTGGCTTTCGATGCGTGCGCCGTGTTTACCATGGGATTTCTGTAATTCAATGTCCAGTCACGCCAAGCGGCGGGCGAAAAACCGAGCTAAATTTCCCCTCGGAAAAGATCGAACTGCGTTTTATGTCGTCGACGCGCCGGCCGCAAAAAGCCCACTCTCTAAAGGCCATACATATTCGTTTAAATAGCCGCCGACGACGCCGGCTGCAAAATGCAAAATGGAAAATGCCGTTGTCTCAATTGGTTTTATAAACAAATTATTGCCATGGGACCGCTGGTGTGGACCACTTTTTAATTGTATCAAATGGCTAGCTCTAACGCTAATTTTTTTTATAAAAATATACAAACTATATTATGGTGGATTAAAAAAATATGCAACATTATTTTAAGTTATTTTGTAAACCAAACTACATATGCAATGTTCATTCTCATATATAATGAAAGCATAGAACCTTTTTTTAGGTTTATCGCCACCAAATTAATTTGTTCATCTTTCTTGTTAGTGCTAGTCACTTTCTGGCATTTCTTGTCTTCAGGTAGAAATTGTCCCATGAGCGCCTTGTAATTCTCGGATTCCAGCGCGAAAATGAAGCAATGAAGCTCTCATCCTGGCATTATGACCATCCGAGCGTCCGCCAAGACGGTAATATACGTCTTGCGCCGGTGCCGCAATAAAATCCCGAACGACGACGTTCAGAAGCGAAAGATTAAGTCGCGATAAACTACGTCAAGAATTTTCTGCGCGCCGCTTCGCCTCAACGCTGACAGTCATGTCCTGGGTGAGGGTGGCTATCGTTGCCCTATCGTTTTTGCTTCGTGTTTGAAGACCAACATGACTGGCAGGATGCGAACGGCGCCGAGAGCACTGGCATGTCGTTTAAATTGTCGGCGGCGCTCTGCAGCTCGTCGTCGTTTTGTAAATTACGTTTATTACATTAAAGTGCGTGCTCTGAGCGCTTGATAAGACCGGCTCCTTATCACCCACAGCAACCAACAACCGCCGCCTGGCGCGAAGCGGCTTGCAGTAATTACATTGTTTCAGATAAAATTAACTTAGCCTTAAGGATGCTTACAACGTCGGTGTCGGGATGAAAATATCAGACGTCTTACATCGCATGAGTGCGTGTTTATCTATACAACATTCAAAAAATCGATAAATGTTGTTGATTGCCTGTGAAATTTATGAAATTCAACTCGTTTGTACTCAAATTTCTAATATCTTTAATGGAACGCAGAATATTTGCGATAACAAAGCATGTTCCAGTCGAGATGACCGGGACAACGCAAAACATTTATACACTTGAACTTTTGCCATGCCGTCAACTATTCTCGGCTTTCACGGAAATTAATTAAAAGCCTCGCGGATATCTTATTACTTACAGTGCAAATACCAGCAGCCGGACGTTGAATTTTCAAGTAAATGAATAAACGTGCCGTGTGTAATTACATTACAGTTCATCCACACACTCGTCCCAAAAACGAACACGTCCACGAACGTCTCATATTCGGGTTGTGTTAGTCTTGGCACTCGAGTCATTCGAATTTTTCGTCCTGTTCGCCCGTAGCGAGTTCAACGCGTTAACTCAATAAGCGCCTTTGGATAAATATTTTAAGAACCATTTCGCACTTAAGCGATGAATGGTCTTCGAGAGAGTTGGCACACTCGGTACTACCCTTTTGCTGTTTTGGTATTTTAGTGTTTCTTTAGTGTTTCGTAGTCGCTGAGTGTTTTTTGGAACGAACTTCAGTTTTACAATACGCAGTAAGGGCATTGGGTATGTATAAAAACTGAAGGGTTATGAAGAATGGAAGTCCGAAAAGTCTTTGTTTCATTAGTCCTCGACGATAAGAGAGCCACTCATGTCGAAATGATAAATGTATGTGCCATTTTTCAATAATTATAATTCAATGCAAAGCCAAATCATTTTTCGCAAAAATTAAAATGGCGCATTATAAAAATTGTAGTAATAATTTATAAAAATTTAACTTCTTAACAAAACTTGACATAAAATAAAATTAATCTCAAGAGTGGCGTCTCCTTAGTTAACATCAAGTTGGGCGTCGCGACACGCCAGCTCAAAATTATCCAAGTTCTCAATTCAGATCCTCGAGCGACGCAGTTTTGTGCCTAGTACTAGAACCTCACGAGAGTAATAAATATTTAGCATTTTAAGTGATTGCAAGTCGACTAATTCGTTATATTAAAAACTACGAGCTACGTTTCAAAGCAGGCGAAACTGATGCAGAAATTTCATATTTAACAAAGTAACTGTAAGGCAAAGATGTGAAGCGAATATATTTCATATTTGCATTTTCTCATTGTCTGTAAACGTAACTGTAACGTATTTAAAATTGAAATATTTTAAAAGTTAGACGTTGTGCAAAGTAAGCAGTGTAAATTTTATTTATTCGAAATGCTAAAACTATTTCATAATATGTTGCTGTTGTCTGCAATTCTCTGGACGGTTCGTAGAAATAAACTGGTGGCACAGGAAAGTATTAATTTTAATTACTTTGCTTGTTTAGATTAGTTTCCCGACGACCGCGTTTTATTCGCATGAAATTTGTATTTATAAAATTGCCGGCGTCATTGTCGGCGCGGGAGAGGCAGCAGAAAAAAGCACAAAAAACTTGCGGATAACGGGCACTCATCGGAATACAAGTCGACGCGGAACGCAAGCGTAGCGTACGCAAATGCGGAAATAAAAAGTAGTTAATATGCAAATTATGCAACAACGCCCAACAACAAGCAGCAACGGTAGCGTATAGACTTGTGCACAATGCGCAAACGGACAATGCAGAACTCATATAAAATTTGCTATGATGTGATTCATTAAAAACGAACTAAACAATGGTTTTACATATTTAAGTAGTCCCGATTATTAACTATCTTCCACTCGATCTTATTGTGGACAAGGCAGAAGGCAATACTAGGGATTCCTAGTTTCATTATTGCTGGTAGTTTGGGGCTACATAGGGCAGCGTGCATGATGGTTTCATTCCATAGTTTTCATGTTTTTTTTTATTAACGTAAAGAGTGTATTTGGGAATATCTCACCTTGAGAATAATAAACACAACAATAGCATTGTCAATGTCGATTGATATCGCACATCTTACGGCCAATTTAACACTTTGACATATCTCGTGTTTGACATCAAGTAAGAAAATTGATTCATGCAACAGTTTCGTGGTTGTAACGTATGCATACTCGTATTGTGATAAATCATTATGTTTTGGTGTTGTGACTTGCATCAATGTTCATTGAACGAGAAAGCAGACTGTCGGCAAGCAGTAAGTTTTCTTTTTACGATAATTTGGGGCATGTTTTATGTTACTAAAATAAGTAACCTGTATCATGATACATGAATAGTTTCATGTTGAAGTACTTTTGGTCTCCATCCTTCAGTTGAATATTTATGACCATCGTAAATCAGTGGCGTAGTCAATAACATGCCAAACCTACCCAAACAATTAATATCTAAGCCGTGAAGCTTGAAATGCCCGGACATGAATCAGCAATGAACCGTGCTAGTACTAATATTCTAATGATATGTTGCCCATCACAATAAATAAACGGCCGTCCATAAAACGGTGACGCGCGTTAACGGCGACGTGAAATCGATTATGCATTTGGAGATTTTAGCTTGTTGATACCGACTTGATTCTGGTTCGCAAGCGCAAAAGTTATTACGCAATGTTGCCCGCTGCTCTTCCAATTTGAGATGCTATTTGCCAGCGCGGCGCCTCGTTGCGTTTTGATGTCCGTAATTATACGTTGATAGATTAATGTCGATAGCTTTGCTTTGGTACGACGCGTTTAAATTTGAAGCTTTTGATAGGAAATGCGTTATAATGATGGAGATTAGTGCATTGCATAATTATGTGAAATGTGAGTCATTAATATTAAACCCAGAATTGTAGCACAAAATTCGCAAGTTTTGACTGCTATCCAGCTGGCATTAATTTATTTTCATTCATTAGTGCAAATTCTTCAACAATTTTCATTTATTTCTCTGTATACCTTTATTTGAGTAAAATGAATGAATGTATGTTTAGTAATACATTAATGCAATATACTTTAGTATAAAACTGTTGAAACAGTCAATGAACACAAAATCAAAAACTATATCATCATGTCTATAGCATCGGTTCATCAGTCAATATCTAGCTCTAAATTTAGAACTAGTTGAAAAAGTAAAAGACAAAATATATGTTTTAATAGTCTAAATTAATTCATCGTGGTAATTTCTTCTTCTCATGCAACTTAGCAGCTTTTTTCTTCATGTTCTGAAGCCTTTTATCAGCACTTACAATAGAGCTACTTGTAGTAACTGGTGTGTGCTTTGAAGAACTACTTTTACTTGATGATGAAGATGATTTGCTTCCACTGCTACTACTTGATCCACTCTTAGAACCAGATTTAGATGAGCTTGATGAACTTGATTTGTATCCACTACTTGAACTCCTATCACCTCTTTCACTTCTATCACCCTTGTCACTCGAATGCCTTGGTGAGTTAGAACTGCTTTTAGGTTTAGAAGAAATATGTGTAGATGATGAAGAGGAAGAGTGTGTGGGACTCTTCTTTGCTTTTCTAACTTCCTTACAACTTGCACAAACCCATGCATTATCTGCCTCCTGTTGTGTTACAGAAGGCTGATGGCATTCTTGATGGTAAAGTGCATGACAGTCAGAGCATTCAAGTAATCGATTACGAGCTCCAACATCCATACCTTGGCAAATTACACAAGCCAGGTCTTCTTTCAGTAACAAATCCAATTCCAGTTCATTATCTGAAGTGGAAGTTGCCTTGACATCATCCATTGCCGTATTTAACATCTCTACACCTGATTGTTTCATCAAAGTTTGCACCATAGCTGTAAGGTTGCAGTCTTTGCCTGTTTTGCTTTTAATTGCTTCTTCAAGATACGTTTGCAGCGATGGTTTACTATTGAGTAGGTGGTCTTTGGAGTGTAGTGCATTTATTGATTTTAAATATGAAGCGTCTAGTTCAGAGAGTGTACTCATTTTCGTTATTTTGTAGAAATTTTCACAGATGATGCGCGTTCACTTTGAGAGGTTAGAGATGTTTTGGTTAGCAACTACACACAGCTGTACGAGTATACTGAGGGAATCTTAATACCTACAACTGCAGTAAATAAACACCACATACCCCGTTTCCTTATAAACCTCTGAAACGAATTAAGTACAGGGATAACTGTAAATATAGATATAGTTCTCATGTAATAGTAAAGATATGTTTTCGAATTATACCCAAACTTTTAAGCGTTAAAGATGTTTAAAAGACAGTGATATCCTTATATACCGCAAATATAAAACCAAAACATTTCCCAGTAGTATGCGAGCGAATTTGGAAGATTTAAAATACAAATATTCAAATACTTATACTATTATGTATGTAAAATATATATACACACAAATGTAAAGTTGAGACTACACTGGCTCATTATTGTGCTTAGTAAATCTTAATTATTGAAGAATTCAATGAATGAAGCAACACTTTCACATAAAATTCATGTCCGTAAATATGGAGCTTATGCTGTTAAATAAAAATAATAAATTTCCAATTATTTTTCAGATTGCTGCTTTGATACTAAACAAATTCCTGTAAATTACACCACAAGATTTATGTTTGTTTTTTGTGTTTTGTTACTTTACAACAGTAAATTCGCTTGTATTCCATTTCTTTGGAAATACCAATAATCTTCGACCCTGGGGAGCGCGTGAAATCCGCGTATACATTCCTAACGTTCTTTAACCACCCACCCAACGTCGTTTTCCCAGGGAAGAGCGCATCGCGCAAACAATCGTATTATTATTTATGTCAATAACCGCGCAACGCACATCCAGCAAGACCTAAATAACACCAGCAAAATACAAAAAAAAAAACGCGCTTTTTCATTTTCAACCGCAGCTATAGTGGATCACGTGCGAAAGTAGCATAGATTTCAAGCACTATGGACATTTCAAGAAACAACAAACCCACACAGTAACTTGGAAATAATAGTAGATAGTAAAATACATAAAAGAGAGAAAATAATAGGCGAGAGCTTATTAGTTCTTCACATGATAGAAACATTCGTATATTTCCGTTAATAATTTTCTTATTTCCTGATTTTCTATAACTCCTTGGAGGCTTTTAGATTCTTACATAGGATTTGCTCAAAGCTCAATGTTTGATACTCGAGTCTCAACTTCAGTCAGATCTGAGATACCAGAATGTCACAGTCACAAGACACGAGTCTGAACATCATTAGTATGTAATAAGTGTGACCACATTCGGTCGTCTCTTATGCCAGGGGCTGTGATCGTTGCCGTCATATATGATGATGCCCGGGGACATTATGAGAAAACTTTTTAAAATAATATCACAACGTTCAGAAGCCGCCGCGCGGGTCATAAACATGGTATCAATAAGTCTTGCGGGATTACGCTCGGGCATAATAGATGATCTGAAACGAGATACGTGATCGGTGTAAATAAAATCGGCGCCGGCGGCGTTGCGTGGGATTTCAGACCTCGGAATGCACGCGGCTCGTTTTGTCGGTTAGTTTTAGATTAGCAAAACTTTTCTATCTTGTTAGCGGCGAGTTTTGCGTTGCGCTGGATGTTGGATGTGATTTAACGAGATTTCCTAACCGGCCATAACGGAGAATATTTTTCTCTTAGTTAATCTCGCTGACTATGCTGATGGCCCAAACTAAATTTGACTACAAATTACTTACTAAAATGTGCACGTTTATCACCATATGTAATACTGGGTAGGTCTTAAAAAATTAAATATTCCTGTACATACTCCTCCATCTATATAAAGATGAATAATTATATTAATTTTCATCCATTCAATACAAGTGTTAACGAATCGCGTATCTTGATCGTGTGACGTTTGATGTTTTTAAACGCTCGTTAATGTTCTGCAGGCACGTCCGGCGCACGGAACTCGCAAAGTGTTTAAACTTGCATTATCACATCACGCGCGTGCAGTTGTTGGCTGAGAGGCATATCCTGGTTGCGAATGATTCCCACAAAGTGTAGCGTCAAACATTCTTGATTAAATGAGCTAAATTATCACGAGGCAATGAAAGACATAATACTCAGAAGTGCTCGTAAATATTCTCGTGAGCACTCAGTATAATCTAATCAAGAAGTTATAATCACAATCACCTTTCATTGAATATCCGAACCACGTATTGGAAATTGTTCTCGAAGTGAGCAACATTTATTTCACCCCGAAAACTAATTAGTTAGCAATCATTTAATTAAAATTCACTATTTTGTGAGTATTTTCAGATTTTTTAAAATACAATGGTTTTTTAATTATACATAAAGATGATTAATCGATTAGTATGCAGGAGTACGAAATGATGCAAGTTGTAATTGCAGTAATTACAAACGAGCGCGAGCGCATCACGTATTTCACGTTGCTTGTAAACGTCCGAAATGTCAACGTTCACGTGAGCTTTAGTTTGCAAAATGTGTAATATAGTAATAACAACAACAAACAGAGCGTTTGCATACGCAAATTGTTTCAAACACCCATCATGCATACAATGTGTTTATGTAACAAACCTTGATATTACTAATTGTAATAAAGATAATCAAGAGAAAAGTAATTCAACGTAATTAATATAGGTACAAGAAACAACATATAATATTAGTTATGTTAATATTATGGGTGTAATTAGTGTATTTGGTAATAATTTCGCCAATATTAAAATGGGTACCCTCTAACTCTCTTCGCGTGATATATGCCCGGCATGCAAGCAACGCGTTCATGCAGTCGAATTTCGTAATGCGCATTAATTCAAGCACGCATCTATAATCTCTCTAAACGTCTATGCGTGCCTGCCACCCGCCACCCACTGCCCGTGTGTTTAGCATGCACGTCGGCGAATGGCGGAGGTGCCGGGCGTCGGGCGTTAGACATTTGAACGTTCGACATTGTGTGCCGACGCACACCTGACGGCGAAATATGGCACACATAGCGCGAATTATTGCTTGCCACGGCTGCCAACCACGCATGTTATCAATACTATACAGGGTCATAATTATCAAACAGGTAATTAGTAAACAATTAAATTCATTTTATATCGTTTTGTTTTATGTTGCACAAAATGACTTCATTAATATTATAACTTGTGTTATACCTAACTAATCTAATAGGTGTGTAATTAGGTCATGCTTGTTGATTTGTTTGAACTGTATGGTAATACATGTGTAATCAGCAAATAAGTCAGAAACGCGTCTCGAAATGTTTGCTATTTGATGCTTCGATATTGACCAATCACTATTTTGATTAAATTTGGCAATATGTTATAGCTATGTACATAAATTAAAGGCTTGTCGCTTTTTTTTTTAACTTTTTTACGGTATTAATATCTCGGTATAATTCGGATTTTTAACGCAAACTTTTTTGCCAACTTTTTTGTAAGCGCGTTCGTTTGCAAGTTTGTATAGTTCATCACCGGATGAACGGAAGGCGTTAAAAGTCATTTGCAAAATATGAATAATTCAAAGCGCTGCCGGCATTCGCGTGCAAAAAAAACCGCACGCCCGTACACAAAGCGCACCGCAAACTTTCATCAATTGCGCGTTTGCTGTCCGCTCGCCCGACGTGCGTAATGTTTGAAACAATTTTTCCCTAATGAGCAAGGGACGTCCACCGTTCACTTTCCGCACGTCGCGCAATCCCCATCGCAAGTCCACCTTGCTAAATACCTACCGCCGCAAAGTGTAATTTGAAAGCGGAAAAATTCTAGACGTGCAGATGCGCGACGTCTCCAATTAGACCTCCTTGCCGCCCGCACACACATAAGACTGCCAACCCCTAATTAGAGTCCGTTCCAGCCCTTATCTAATTAATTTAAATTAATCCACTTGTATGCTGAGTTTAGTGCGTGCGCGCTGGCGAACCAACCGCGGGCTCTTTTATTTATCACCCCGCCGGTGGTGGAAGGACGCGAGGACCTTAAAGCTTGAAGGATTAGACCCGAGGTGAATTTATTCACCGCTTCGAGTGTATCGCGTTTATATTGTAATTTTAAACGAAGCCATAGCTCTTTCGCAGCTAGGAAGTGCCCGAGTTCCTGCTTTATTCTCGCCGAATACGCTACCCCATCGGGTGTGTGTCCAATCTTGCCTTTTATTTGCACGCACGCTAACCACATACGTTGGCAAAGACAAAACCCTTTTGAGTTTGAACGTTATAGTGAAGTATTCATTGCTTTGGTGGCACTTTAAAGTCGCGAAAGTACCGTGGATATTCGCACACGCAAATCGTCAAACATTATTTTATAGTTGCCGTTTATATTGTTATTACTTTGTTTTACACGCATCGCGGAGAGATAAATCTATGAACGCGTGTCTTGTTGCACTCGGGAGACCGAGGGATGAGAGAGAATGAAAACCCGAGCCGAGTTATTGCGTTTATATTACTCCAAAGGCGTAGATTTATACAAATTGGCAGGCGGGACATTTCGAACCGGGGAGGTTTTAATGGTTGTTCTATTACATTGCAATTTACATTTTATAGTGAATATAATTTGAAACCACAGACTTCAATATATCAAAGCTATTGGAGTTCCAATAAAAATTGTAGTTTTTATTGCAGAAGTATTTCTCATTGTAATCTGTATAATGTCAAAATGAATCCTTGCTTTATTCTGATATTTGTGCGAATCTAATCTTATCAGTATTTGTCATTGTTTATCGCACTTGATGTCCTCATATTTTAAGACCTCTGTGATTACTTATTCTACCCCTGCGCTAGCGATGATGTATAGGATTAATTTGTAAATGAAGTCCGCGTGCGGAAAATGTCGCCGCAATAAGTCAAGCCGTCGGAGCGGCTTCCGCGAAAATTTAATTAATAACCGCCTAATTTACAAAACGCCAAGCCTATCTTGATCTAAATCTGGCTCTCTGGCTGCACAGTAAAGCTGGACGAAACAATATCGAAAATTTCAACTACGCTCAAACTTTTAACTGAGTTATCATTTAGACTTTTTTTCCAAAATAATTTATTCTTTATCTTTGTTTTGGATTCTTTTTGATTCTACATCGGCACAAAGTGCTCCATCATTTGTTATTCGTTTGGGTAGATTTTAAACTCACAATGCAAATATTTTCGGTTCGACCACGATTTATGAAGACATATCAAGGTAGCAAAAAATATGTCGGTCGTATGTCGTCGGACGGAAAAAAAGAAACGAACAGGAATTGCGCGCATAGCGATTGTAATAGATCGTTTGATGTTCTGATTTCGAATGCCAAGCTTGTTTCTTGCAGACGACAGTTATGGTCATAAGCCGGAGACCACCCGCCTGCAGGAAGCCGGAAAAGTTTGTTTATATCAAGATAAACTTGTCATGCCAACTTTCGTTTGAAATATTCACTACGCGAACGCGCGGTGATTTTATTTTTCGCATTTTTTTATGTAGGGCGCCCCGCTTTTATTTTACTTTTTGAGATTTTTACATCTTGCTGGGTGCAGGGATTTTTATGTCCGCTGCGTTTTGAGCTTGAGTTCGGATGTCGGCGACTGCCGTGAGGACGAAGACGAAGACGATGATGAAAAAATGTAGAAAGAGGAAACTGAAGCTAGGCGGCGTTGTCGGGGCGTCGTCGTCACGACGATTTGTCAGTGTCACGAGAAGAACCCGTAATACTAACATAAAAAATAGTTACAAGAATAAATTCTGTCCAGTTTAACAACAAACAATTATAATTAAATTTAAATATAAAAATAGAAAATACTCCAATTTATAAACAAGTCTTTTAATAAAGTTCTATATGCCTTACTTTTACTTTACACTAAAATGAGTAACACTCTGTATGAAAGGTAGGTTCCTGCGTCTGATGTATAACAAAAAGGAAAAATCAAAAGACGTAAAGCCATTACGTTGTGGAATTTGAGCGTTCGCGCGATCGTTGTTCGTTCTTTGCTCGACGTCGCTCCCACCCCCGCTGTCGGCGGCACGTTTTGCGCCCTCCCAATTCGAGCCGCGGCCGCTAATCTTATTTGCATGTAAATTATGCCACCTGACCTGTGTTTCGATCTGACGTCTCGTGGCGCGTCCGTAAATCTCCGTTTAACGCCGGCAATCAACAAACCCGCGATCGCACTTAAATGTATTGTTTTCCTGAAGATTTAATTCCAATCAAATCCAAAGCTAAACCACAATTCTCGGATTTGGGCCGAGGCCTAGCGCATGACCTAGCAATTCACCTCTGCAACAATTCACCCTAACGCTGTCGCAGAAAACCCGTGGAGGCAAAATTTGCATATTACTTTTCCTTTTGTCTTCTTCCATTGGTTTCTTTCCTAGCTTTTGTTTTTGGAGTTTAGTTAAGTTAGTATTGGAAGGAAAAAGCACTGTTGAGTGCTTGAAAGCACGTCATCTAAGTAAACATGCACTTTCTGAGGACATGTCGAAGGAATTTACTTTTATGCAATATTTTTGGATAAAATAGGAAACGATTTTTGTAAAAATAAAGGTCGAGTTTTTTTTTTGATTTTGCATTCCTGTTTATGTTGAAAGTTAAAGATTTTTATGTTAAAACCGTCTTAATATTAAATTATTTTCTTAATAATAATGAATTTATTACCTACCAACCTTCATTTCATGCTTAATAAGATATATTTCACGGTTCATAATTTTGTATGCCTAATTTGATGTAATAAGACCTAATATAACGTTAATAACTTGTATATTACATCCATCTTCCTATCCTTTTTTTGCAAAGCGCCTGGATATTGAAAATGACAAAAATCCAAATGAAAATTACTTTGCAAGAAAATTACAAAATGCTTACATAGGCAGCACCTTCCCAACGTAGTAATAAACCTTTGATTATCCAGGCGTGACGCATTCTTTCCAAAAATGCTTGTAAGGTCGCGCGCAAAGACAGGGGTAAGGAGGCATAATGAATTCCATCGGCTTTTTGGTCGTTTCGTTTTTCTCATTTCTTGTTTTCTCGTTTGTTTGGATCGTTGGAGGCCATAAGTCGTGCCTTACTGATTTGTATTTTATACATTTGCTTGTTTTTTATATGCACGGGATAAGGTTCTAATTCAGATTTTTTTCTCAATGAGTGTATTTGTATTTGATTTTTGACAAAAGCAAAAACTGAAAAAGCAACATTCGTCGCTAGTAGAGTAAAATTTAAAGTTTTCATAAAACAAATTATATTTATAGTTAGATCTTCAGTGTTGCTTCTTACTAAAGTTTGAATGTAACGGAATCTTAAGAGCATTTCAACTTGTCCTAAAGCTTGTCTGCGCAAATACTTGAAAGATCAAGACAAATGCGCGCTTAAACGATGTCGTCGACGAAAGGTCGCCGCCGCCCGCTCGCCTAAAGACCGTGAGAGTGCACTCGTTGCGGCGCTTGTAATCGATAATGTTATTGTAAGATAATCCGTTTGGCGTTGTCTTTCTTCTCTGCGCCCCTGCCCGCGCCCTTTAAACGACCAGTTGCCGGGGTGCGGATTAAAGGCGCCCCCAGCAAACGTCGAACAAACATGATACCGGCACGGACGCGGCTTCAACCACACCACAAGACTTGAGACGCGCTCAGATTAACCGCTCGGCCAGCCCGCGAAAGGGCGCAGCTCCATCTGAAAACAAACCGCAAGGGTGGTTTCGTCCCTGAGCTCAGATTATATCAGATTGCGACCTGTCGCAACGTCCCTATGACCCGGATAATTTTCCACATACTTGCTCCCACCACACAACAAAACATTATATTTTAAACATCCATTACCATTTCGCCACATCATCTTCAATCAAATTATTAAAAAGTTTTAACTAATTTTAACTGTCAAAAGAGAAAAACGGGATGTTTGTAGATACTTTCATTAGGATTTACTATGTTTCTTAACATACGGTATGAAGAAGATAGTAGAATGACAGAGGCTCGACTGGAAAATTAACTTTGGTACATTGCACCTGATCAGATTTTATATATCCCTTAAGAATAGAGGGACAACAGGGTATTTATAGCATTTATGTGCTTTCCGATCTCTTCAATCATTGTTTCTTCTTGGTTCTCACATGCGTCTTGAAGGGTTGCGCATTGAACCGGATATCAATGAGCTTACATTTATAAAATAGCAACTTTCAGTTTATTCACATTTAATTTTTATTTTTGTTTCGTAAAATAATAATAATTTTGATTTATTTTATATCTTTAATGTGCATGATAAAGATTTATCTAAAATTTTACTTTTTTGACAAATAAAAACCATTTGGATGCTCGATAGCAATTTAAATCAAGAATTCAAGTTTTGCTTTTAAGCATATACTTTAATCATTTACAGTATTTACAGTATTACAGTACAGTATATCTACGAGTACAGTATTTAGATGTTTGGATGTTTTAGTTGTTGGATTCTGGTCACTCGTTTTTTTAACTAGAAACTGTCCTCATAATAGTTTAGTCTTTGCACTTGAGGTTAATAACACACTACGAGTGAATTGAAATTAACTTTCTCACGCAGGTGCCACAAAGATAATAATTATCCCTATAAACGATCCTAGAACGTTTGCTTTCCCAACGAACATTTTTGTTTCGTAAAATAACATTAATTTTGATTTATTTTATATCATTAATGTGCATGATAAAGATTCATCCAAACTTTTTACTTTTTTGACAAATAAAAACCATTTGGATGCTCGATAGCAATTTAAATCAAGAGTTCAAGAATTCAAGTTTTGCTTTTAAGCATATATATTACTTTAATCATCTATTTAAATGTTTAGATGTTTTAGATGTTTGATTCTGGTTACTCGTTTTTTTAACTAGAAACTGTCCTCATAATAGTTTAGTCTTTGCACTTGAGGTTAATAACACACTACGAGTGAACTGAAATTAACTTTCTCACGCAGGTGCCACAAAGATAATAATTATCCCTATAAACGATCCTAGAACGTTTGCTTTCCCAACGGTTGAAATGAACGAAACCGTCGTCGAAATAATGCAGGAGAGCATGCAAACAAGGGTGGTTCCGGTGGCGTTTGGCGGCTTTCATCTAGTCGTCAAAAGCTTAACGGCTCGTTAGACTATTTCGTCGCTTCACCCCATTCACCCCTTTCGCCACGCGGCGTTTGCCACTTGCCGGCGTTTTCCTTCGTTTACGGCCGGCGGCGGCTTGCACAACGCCTTCCCGCCGCGCATCGGCCGTCACCTCCTCCGCCACCAACCTCTCACCGTTTTGTGTTGTGCAAAGCGCCGCCGTTACGTATGATTGTGCACGGCGCGGTGGCGAAACGTCAAACCGCACACGCCGTCATCCATAACTACTGGATTGACTGCGGGGCTGGTGGGTTCTTTGCTGACAGAACGAGCTTAATTAACTTTTGAGTTTATGCTTGAACTGTTCCATGCTTCATTGCACACCGCACGCTCGTAAATCAAACAATTACCTTAAATTTTAGAAAAAAAATCCACAGTTCCTGTGGTTGGTTGTTTATTACCTGTTTTTGAGGGGACAGCACCCAAAAATTGTCTATTATTATAGGCTAGGATGTTAAGGACGCAATTCAAGTCCCTTGAATTAACACTGCACGCAACGAAATGGGCAATTTCACCCCGTGAGTTTCTAATTAAATAGGCATCACTCGAAAACAACCCCTGGCGAGTCAAGCGTCATCATCAACTCACACATAACAATTTATGCTATACTAGGCTTTTGGTTATTATTAATTTACAATATCCACATTTATTTTATACTAAATATCACATCAACTCTTGCATAACGTAAAAATCAACAAATTTGCAAGCATTGATAAGAACTAGTTTTTGTTTTATCATTTCTAACAAAATATATTAAAATTACATTTCATAAATATCAGTGATCTTAATTTCTACTTGAATAGTGATACATGAGTTGGCACACGATCATGTCATTATGATCTTATTGCCCACTTATAATTTAAACATCCGCTCCGTGATTTTTCTCACAAAAATACTTGTGATTATGATCAGATGACAACGAGATTAAATTAAATTGCGAGCATTTCATAATCTCTTATCACTTCACATCAAATACTTTCATTTTCTGTGAACGTTTCAGTGAATAACTTAGTATGAATTCATAACAAAACTATTTAAATTAATGCGATTGAATTAATGATGTCTACTATTATTTCTGTATTTCTATTGTATATACTGGCTTTTCGTCTTTTTCCGTCAGTATTTCTGTACTGCCTGACTTTTTTTGAGGACCCCAATCCCTTGTTGGACGCAACCATTCCATTCCTGACTAAATAAATTTCAAATTTAGTAAATTTTAGTATTTTAATGTGTAATTCTTACGTATTTTCGTTGAAAGAGAGATATTCCGGCCATAATGGGCATAGGTGCAAGAGTGGCTAATCCTACTAACACTCCTAAAATATCAGCCCAATCGGGAAATGCATAACCCTCATATTCTGCAAACTCAAATGTGGACATTTGAAATGCAAACACTCCCTACAATCAAAAATTGTTAAAGATAATTCGTAAAATTTATAAAATATTTCTTACAATTAATGAGGCTGGTGTTAAAATAACCCAACATCCCCACCACCACCACCTCGCTGGTAAAGATAACTTCATTTGCATATCCTCCATGTTATCCAAAAATCTGTTGCATCCATAAGCCCATGATGCAATTACGACCTCTGCTAAACCAATAAGTAAAATTGCCCACGATGCGGTATTCCATTCCAAAATAGTGAATAAGTAGATCCCACCATCAGCACACATTGGCAAAGCCAACAGAAAGCATAATATGCAAATTGTTAACGTGACGTATACTTGGTGCTTCCTTAACTTGGGCCATTTATCCAACAAAGTGGTGTTGATTGCTTCAACACCAGCAAATTGACTTCCTAGGCCAAGCACAAACAACATGAAGAAAAAGATCAATGCCCAGAGGGTAGGCACCGGTAACTGAAGCAAAGCTTCCGGGTATGCCACAAAAGCTAAACCAGGCCCTTGTTCTGCAACTTCTTCAACTGGCAAACCAGTTTTTAAAGCCAGAAAACCCAACATGGCAAAAATTGCAAATCCGGCGTAGATTGATGTGAAGGCATTGGCTGCTGTTACAATCAGTGCATCTTTCAGACAGTTGTTACTGAAGTCACTATAGGATGACAATGTAATCAATGACCCACATCCAATTCCAAAAGAGTAAAACGTTTGAGACGCTGCATTTCCCCAAACTTTAGCTTCCAATAGTTTCTCCCAATTTGGTTTGAGGTATACCAAAATTCCATCTCCTGAACCTTCTAGAGTGAGACCAAACACTACTAAGATTGTAAGAACTACATAAGGAAAGAGTGCTGTAAAATATACGGCTTTTCCTGAGGTTTTAACTCCGCGAACCACACAAAGGTATCCAATGATCCAAGCCAGTAGAAGGCAGAGTACCAGTTGCCACCTTAATCCACCAAATTCTTCCCAAGTAGCATCATGTCTACCCAGAACGTAGTTATTAAAATACTCAGATGTAGCAAGTACTCTATCCGTCAATACTTTTTTTAAGTGAATTTTGCCATCTTCAGTTTTGCAATGGAACTTGTCTTCGTACCCTGTAAAATTTGCCTCTTTGCAGATTTTATCAATTGAACTACAAGTGCGGTTATAAAATGTTTCGCTTGTCTTGCATTTCTCGTCTTGGGCAACACTGTAGCAACCTTAAAAATGAGATTAATATATTGGTACCTTTAAATTCATATTAATTTATTATCGTTACCTTGGGTATTAAATGAATTTGAGCATGACCCAAACGGTAATTCAGACGTGAAAGAGGCAAAGAAGTAGAATAGAGCCCAGGCAATGATGACCATGTAATATATAGTCACGATAGTTATGACCACCAAGGTGCAGTAGCCTAGACCTCGGAAAATTGGAGCCATTCGGGTGAAAGCCTCATCAGGGCCTAATCCGGAATACTGACCAATGACCAATTCCAGAAGAAAAATTGGCATTCCCATAATGATTAACATAATAAAGTATGTTATTAAGAAAGCACCTGGAAACGAAAACATACTTGTTTATATCTAGTTCCTACCCAACTTAAGAATTTATAGTATTACCCAAAGTCTACTGCATTTAATCTTTTCATTTTGCTGGTCTATGTCACCAGTAAAAGCAATAAACTTATCACATATAAAAACTTATCGTTTTATGATCTGTTGTTAAGCCGACCAGGCATTCTACAGCGCCATATATGAGGCTCTCGATTGTATTATTCCACCTCTAGCGTTGTTTATCGTCGCTTGGCGCATCGTCGTAAAGCGCGCTCGCGAGATCTTAATTTCGTTTCGCGCTTTCTGGACTGCATCCAAAGCGACGCTTTTCTGCACGGCGCGAACGTCGTAAATAAGTACGTCTCGCACGTCGCGTCGTCACGCGCGTAATTATTTTATTAAAGAATTTCTAATGCGACCTGATGCCTGCGATAAATCATCCGGCAAACTGGCGAAAATTCAATTTGACGCGAGCACTAACGCCGTTTCGCTTTTGCAATTTAGAAATTAAGAAAACGAGGAATAAGTACAACACAACACAGCACAAAATGTAACAAATCAAAAATGGTTTGTTTCGCAAGCTTTGTAGATCCTCATTCCAGTTTTTCTTTTATGTTTCAACTCATGTAATAAGTTGTTAGCTTTTTGGCTTGTGGGATGTTGAAAAATTTGCGTTATTATTAAAATCATAAATTACAAAGAAAAATAAATCAAGGCATTGCGCAACGTAACAAATTAAATTAAAAGTAAAAATAACTTGCAACATAAATTTCCATTTAGATGTTTTTTTTTTAATTTAGCAAAACGTTTTACGTTTTTTGTCTGCAAAATGATTGCCAAGTGGCCACGTGTTAGCTACTGTGGTGGGTGCACCGGTGTGTTAATTAATTTAATCGCCATATTAATTGAACTTATCGAGCGTATTTATGGTATTATTAATTACCTTAGTTAAATGATAAGCTTCGACGATGTGGCGCGCGCTCGGCGCTTGCGATAGAGACGGCTCGATTAAATCGTAAATCATTGCGGCACCCAAAACGCCAGATTGATTTATTATATTCTAGCTCTTGGCTATACTAATTTACAAAGATATTTGATTTGATATATTTATTTCTTAATTTTTTGTTTAAACTTGAATGCAATATAACATGTTGTTGTATTTTTTTAACTAATTTGTTTATTATTGATTTCTGCTAGGGTAGTTTCTTGAGTGCTCTATTTTTGGTCTTGATTAATTTATCCCGGAAGGAATTTGGCAATTTCTCTACCTGTCGAAAACACCCTCTGACTTTTCCTTGTTGGTTCTCCTCAATTTTCGCCTCGTTTGCGTTGATATACAAAAAGTAATTAATTAAAAACCGCGTGGATCATTTATTCTTGCAGCAACCAACTGTTTCTGACTATATTTTCCTAACTTTAACCGCGTTTTCCATAATTGAAAAAAATATTACTTTTGAAACCAACATTGATATGTGAACCAATTTATAAATTGATGAGCATTTAACTATTCTGACACGGGACGGACATTAAGTTAGTTTTAGGTATTAGTTAATTCACTAAAAAGTATTTGAGGTCTGTTCAACTACCGAGTAGAAAATAAATTGCGTAACAACAAAAATATTGGAAATATCCAAATCTCTATAGAACCTGAATAGAAATTGAAATTATATATTATTACTAACATGGTCATATACTTATGATACCTACGACTCAATTTTCATTGCTTAGTAGTCATTTTAATGGATTCAAATGTTTTTGACTCATTCTTTACTCACATCCTGGCATCTACATTCATATATTGTAGGCTTTTGAATGTATAGTGTCCAGCACACGATCGAAAGTTCCCAAAGTTTTGTACAAATTGGGACCGTGATTAATATTCATGTGCGCGATTTGACACACAGCACGCACCTGTGTTTCAGTTTGCCTATTGCTAATTAGACCTTCAGAACTACCTATATGCTTCTATATTAAAATTTAATTCCTAAGCTTCTCTCTCTATAATATTTTTTTAACAAAATGTATACTTGTATTTTTAAGAAGTAGGCAGCAAAGGTTAAAAGTTGCTTTTGTGTGTATGTGTACAAAAAATAAATAAAACATGCAATCCTACCTCCGCCATTCTGATAGCACAAATAAGGAAACCGCCACACGTTGCCCAAACCTACGGCGTACCCAATGCATGACAGGACAAACTCTAACGGCTTGCTCCAGGCGGCACGTTCGGGTATAATGTTATCCTCCTGCACAGAAAAAAATCACGCACTTACAGAATTTGTTTTAGAAAAGTTTTGCTAAATATGCACACAGTAAAAAAGGTTACATATATTGCATTATATTTATGTTCATAAGAGTAAACATATATTCGCCCCATATGGCAAAAGTTTTTATTTTCAGTACAAGTTTTAATTGATAAATTAAGCCATTGTCATATTTCACGCAAATAATTTTTATTTATGTTGGTATGAAATATAATAAACATTTGAAGCTGCTTATAACAAACTTTGGTTATATTGACAATTATATAAGATGAGGTGATTAAAAGTACCAAAGTGCACTATTTCATTAACAATTATTTCTAGTTAAACATGTTGTAATATAGATAAGATTTATCATATTAAAGGTGTTGTCGATTGGGTTTTACATGGCAATTTAGTGATAACAAAACATTCATTTGTGATTATAAAATAATCGGATAACATGTTAATAAATTGATATAAATAATGTTTACGAACAAAGCATTTTATGCATCAAATCAAAGTAAAATAAATTTGGTTAAATTATTCAACATCGAAGAAAATAAATTATATAACGCTTACTTTTCCAGGATTCCCCATATCAACCACTAATTTTTTATATATTAATTCACTAAATTTATTTAATACGCTTGAAATATACACCAAGCGTTACTTTCACTTGTTTATTGCTTTTAATTAGCTGCTAATAATTCTTGGACACGTTGAATCAAATTGTATGTCACCGCACCGAGCGATGCGGTTAAAGACTGATAAAATCATAGGTGGAATAATTATATATTGCTAGATGTTTGCTATTATCTTATAACCATTTGTTACATGCTTCCATTGTTTGATAACAACGCACTTCTAGTTATCGCATACCGGTCCTAGCAGCCTGCCAAATGCTGATTAATTAAACAACTCACAAAGGAAAATGTTTGAGATAGGCGTTTTTTGTCACCTCACTTTGTTAACGAAAATATTTTAAGAATTTTGCTTGAATTAAAAGGGAAATCAAAAACATTCTAATATTATATTTTTTCTAATTTGTTGTATGCCAAAAAATTATAATTTAAGAACTTTTATTTTGAGAATGCATTGAAATATAGTTCAATTATTTAAATTATGAAAATTTATGTAATCATTATTACCTAAACTTATGAATATTTTCTTGATGACTCAAAAAAAAATCTTATCACGGTTAAGTGGTATAAAATTCCCACAATTTTATATTATTTCGCAATTCTACAAATAATTGCATTTGTCATATAACAATTTGTTTCTACTACCACCTTTAAAACACCAGTTTTTCTACGGTTTTGAGACACAAAAAGTGGTACTTCAAACACAAGGTCGTGACTAACGTACTTTGGTCACGGGGTAGATTCTAGTGATATGATAGATTGGAAAATATTTGCCCGCGACTCTCTCTTTTCACAGTTTGGAAAGATTACTTAACTCTGCCATTGTGAATAAAAATAATAATTTGATATATTTATGATATTATATAATTCATTATAGATATTGGTTGGATCTAAATTATTATATTTCCGAAATTTCTGAAAGTCTTCATTTGCTATTTGTGCCACATCCATTATTATAACTTTACTTAGTTACTCTTTCAATATTGACAAATTCATTTTTATAATTATTGTCACCAAGTGACAATCTGTCAATTTATTATAGGCTTTTTTTAACTTTTGGAAAACACTGGAACTGGAACATTTTCCTGTAAACCGAATTCTGGAATACACACAAAAAAAGTTATCAAAATCGGTCCAGCCGTTTAGAAGGAGTTCAGTGACATTCACACGGAGAGAAGAATTATATTAAGATTTACCCTTAATAATATTAAAGTTACATTGTTTTACGATAATTTTGATTTTGCACTTGATAAAACGTGTGGAGTAGTTCCTAATAGATTGCCATCTTATCAATTTTAAATAATAATACTAATCTATATTATAATACATATCAACGAAGTGGATTTTCCAGTTGAACATTAGTCAAATATTTTTAAATTTTTGATAGGAATTAGTTTGGATAACACCAGCGCAATCTCACGGTGAATTGTATAAATGTTACAGCAATAACAGTTCGTCATTTACTCACAACAGGATTCTTCTATTCCTGCGACATCTAGAAGCAATGAATATAAGTATAGGTATCGTGTAAGTTACATTAAACTGCACGGATTTTTTCCAGTTACGAGTAAATAAATAAGTTGCCTAACAACATTTGAAAATTACTTTAAAGTATCACGAAAATAACTAATGTTAATAGTTATTTACATTTTCCCATTAATTTTTTTTATTTAATAACCGCAGTCATTAAAAAGGCATTAATATAATCATAAATCTAATAAATTTACCACAAAATTAGCAATTGCTTGTTGAAGCATTCGGCAATGAGAATGAAAACCGCAAAGTGTAAAAATCTCTGACGTCTCTAATTTATTAAAAACCCAGTCAATTGTTTTTCGCACGAATTTCGTGACATTCGTAATTTAACACATATCCTTTATTCGACTTTTAGTTTTAAATTTAATACAAAAGATAGACCACTATTCCTACTATTCTATTTTTTTATATTATGTACATTGTACAAAAAAACAAGTGTCAGACATTTTACAGTCTGCTAATTTTGTAATATATAACGACGAATAAGATATGTCCGGGAGGAAAAAATTGCACCGACGTCTGCAACTAATTACACGAATTAGATTTTGTTTACACTTGTGCACAATATAAATTAACATAATGACAACAGTATAACATATAATTATGGGTTGTTTTAGACTAGACTTTGCAACAATGATGTACGTTTCATCAGCGCACCTTAATCAAAATGCAAAAGATTAATAAATAATCCTCTTTCGCAATAATTTTGTTTTTCGAATAAATCGAAAAAAAATTAAATTTTTGCTTGCCCCATGCAAAAAATATTTCCTTTTCTTTGTCTGTGCAATTATCATTTATTACACACATTAACGTTCATATTCTAACAAATTTAGAAACAAACACCTGCGAAAAATTCCACCTATTCAATATCTTCCAATTATACTCTACCTAATTAAGTTTGCAAATAAAATTTTCAGAATTGTTGCATAATTTCATCAAGCTCACCAACTGAACTTAGCAACTGAGTCAGAACTTTATTATTAAACCGCAAAGTTAATTACTTTGCGTAGTTAGTTCGAAACTAATTGGTAATGTTGCTAAAAGTTGCATTTTTCTGTTAATCTCAATAAAAAAACACAAATAAATAAATACAAGGTAATGTAAAGATTTAAAAGAATGTCGAAATATTGACATTGCTTAATAAAATTTTATGAAAAGTTACAAATTTATTGAATGGTATCTTATGTGCATTATCTTTGCATTATTTTTTATTTACTTTTTTGTTTAATTATTACATTTAGCACAATAAATAAACTACCAAAAGTAACCATGATTTAACAGTGATTTACACAAGTAGCCATGATATAAATTTGATATATTAAGTATATTTGTTTTTAATCAATTCATAAACCTGCCAGTGTTTTGCATAACGATCGTGCTAATAAGAAAGCCCCACTTGGAGGTACGAACATGTGTTCAATATGTGCAACATTGAAAATCACTTTGGAATGTGATTTTTAAATTGATGAAATTTTCAGAAGTAGTAAACCTTTATCGTCTCATCGGTTTAGATAAACTTTAAGATTAATAACTATAAAATGGATTTATATTAAATTTAAACTATTTTGGTATATCATCGGCCTGAAAAATTATATATTATATATAATAATCACTTCTACCTCAAAATTTATTACAAAATTGACTTATGTTTATGGTATTTCTTGTTCCTATGATTAAAGATAGCTTAAAATTTAATTTTTGCTACTCTTTTTATACAATATATCAATTGGCAGTTAAATTCTCGATTCCTGCAATTAAATATTAAAAATATCCTACAAAAAGTTTTTTTTATGTAAATTATGCAAATATCTGATTTGATTAGAGTAAAAATTGACATGCACGTAATACATCAATGATGTATCACATAAATTGTAGCAATCGACGTTAACATAAACGATTTGTTTGGCAATTAATCAACAACTTTACTTAACATTTATCAATATATTTCCAAGTACCAAAATGTGAAATGAAAGATCGATACAAGCAAAAATGACTCTCACTAATGCGTGTCCGAATGTCCACGTTTACCTATTTGTCGAGGTTTGTTCGGTTGATATTATTTATTTCTTAAAAATGTTAAAAAGTTGCAAACACTCGGATTGCGCAACGCTACAACGGCCAGAGTGCTGATTTATCATAGAGATAAATCTACATCACATCTACATCATACACAATCATACAAGCAGCCACATATTAATATGCACATGGCTTATATTTAAACCACAGTGTGTGTATGTGGTAAAGTTAAATAATATATTATGCGATATGTGTAAAAGTACGGTTTGTCACACTGAGTGACATATTCGTTGCCCATCCCTTGTTGTGGCTTAGTCATGCACGACCTTACGATGTTATTCTTTCACTTTCTTTAAAATTTAAGAATACTTATATCGGTTGACATAAAATTTAAGATTTATACATTTATAGTTGGGTTAACAGATATTTTATATCTAGGCAATTTGGTATTTATAAATATGCGTTTGTTAGTCAGTTATTTCAGGTTCAGATTAGACTTTAATATTAAAGGTTTATAATCATTTATTATTATGCGTTTTTTAATTAGATTAGTTCAAAATCTTTTTTTTTACTTTTCATAGATGCAGTTTATTGGCTTAAAATGGTTTAATTTATATTAGGACTATATAATTTCTATATTTATTAGTATATTCTATTATAAAATATTTATTAGACAAAGTTTTCTTAATATTCTTGCAAATTTATATCTATCCAGTCCACGATTCTACAATTACGCAATTAAATTTGTTGTTTTTTGTATTTTTTGCATTGAAATGTTGAAACAACAATTACATTATTTTTCACCTATAATTAACATGTACTTCTGGGATTGTTCAAAACAAATTTAGCATGATATCACTACTTACCTATTTATTGCTATACTATTGTTTTATACGATTTAAAACAAACCGCAAACAGCAAATTATTTACGCCAAACAACAATACAGCAATTTTGTCGAATAGTTTTTTTTTATTTAATTCACATTTTATAAGTGCGACGCAAATTCAGTAGGTTGTCTGACATCTGCAGCGGTCAACACATTGACATTGTTTGTCGAACGAATTTCCAGGTAGATTGCCACCGGCGAGATGTGTTCTGATGTCCTTGAAACCAATGCACAATCTGTATCTGAAACAATACGCAGAACTAAATTATGTTTTCGATCATTAATGTGTACATGGGTATTATAAAATTCCAGGACATGAAATTATTCGTGATTAATCACTATCAATCGATTTGTGACTGGAATTGGTTATGCGGAAAATAATTTGCATTAAGTGGAAATAAATCTGAATATAATTATCAATTTTTGTATTTATCACATTCTTAATCTCATTGAATTAATGCTTGAGCTTTGGTTTCATCTTGTGAATTATTATCTTGTTGTGCTGAATATTCATAGGATGAAATTTTACCCGATTTTTTTTTTGTGATTTATGTTGAGCAGTTTTTAAAAACTTGATTATTCTAGGTTATAAATATTACCGTTTTACTGCTAATAATTTTATCTTTTATATTAATTGTGAAATTTGTACGTACATCAAATGTAATAAGTTTAATAGCAATTATAGTTATATTCCTTCATGGCATTCCGCAATAATTTATTGTATATTGAATTTTTTGTCGACAAAACAGTGCAATGTATTCGCATTGAATTCGCCATGGCATCTGAGTCATCTCGAGTATCAATCTAGTCGTGAAACTTTATTGGAATTACTTTTAGAATTTATAGGTGCAATTGTTATTAGCGAACAATAATGTTTTTACATCATTCATTTTTGCGCGCCTTGCTATTACGTTATACGATATTGACTGCGCGCTCATGTCAAGATATCTTCTTTTAAAGAGCGTAATTACTATTATTAGTCAACGAAACAAACACACATAATACCCTGTGAGCATAAGTATTTACGGGCCACGTTTCGAGGATTGTTTGCAGATGTCAGACATTAGACTAATTGAACGTTTAGTTATGTTCAAAAATTATGAATAAAAAATTGCACGACTAAAGCATCATGCATACATCAGCAGTGTACATGTATGGATAAAGTCAACAATATTTCGTGTGGTTTAGTTAAGATGTGTGTAAATGTGTGTATGTGCAAATAGTACATTTAGGTCAGAATAATTAGAAACTTTTTTTGTTTCACTCCAACTGATTTTTTGCGCATGAGTTTAGTTGTGGTTAAATTGGCGCTCTCCTTTTATACTCTTGATTTTTTCAACTCTTGACGTCTTGCTTTTTGCAAGAGCATATAAAAATAAGTCGAGAGGCTTGCGCTTCGGATGCGCGTTGTTTAGCGATCAGTTTTGCAATAATTAAACAAATTTATGAATTTATTTTTTTATTATATTTGAGTCTTACGTATTGTGCTAATGGAACAAGTTGATAGCTAATGGCGATTTAAGTGAAAGAACATACACAAATCAACAAAATATTAATCACGATTTAGTGGTTTTATAAAATTTTATGCTTGTAATATGCTAAATTTTATATTTAAGTCCACAATATTAATGAGTGTTTTATTGAGCAGTAGTGGAAAAATAATTCCATAAATTTTTGTTTTAATTTTCTACCTGCTAACCTCTCCGGCTGCATTAAATATTCTCGGCGCTTGTAATTTGCAATTTTCGATGAGACATTTTCCAGTTCCCATACTGGTGCATGATTACACCTAAACGATTAAATTAATGAATATGCATAGCGCGTTCTGATGTTCCAGTCGCATAAAGAAAACGAGACTGATCGAAACTTTTATGACAACCGCGTTGGCGTTGTCACTTAAATCAGATTGTAAAGCGCCAAATTTATACAAAACGTCAGACAAAACAGTTTGTAAAACTACAAAAACGTGTCATCCAAACGTGCAAAACGTGCTGTTCAATATTGTGGGATAAAAAATTTCCATCGGGCTTCCCTGGATTATTTTTAAAAATAATAGAAGATGATTAATAAAAGTGTACGAAAAAACAAAAAAGGTATGTTTTTATGTATGGAGTAATAAATTATTATGTTTTGAATTGAATAAGTGCAATTTTAAAATGTACTAATTACACCTTGGGAGTTGGAGCTCTAACGAATCGCACTGCTAATCAAAGATGAAAAAGTTCCGCTCGGATTTGCGCTAAAAAGCGAAACGATTTTATAGCGAAAGAGTTAGCACCGAATTAGGCAATTTCGCACGATATCGAAGATTGCGCTCGTGGTGTTCGCTCGCTTTTCAATTAATGCATCAAGCCTATAAAAGTCAATTAAGTACAAGGAAAACTGTTTGGAGCAACTAAACAAACTCAATCTTAAACATAAAATAAAATATCTAACTTTATTTTACGTTTAAGCGTAATTGAAGTTATGAATAAGAATTTACAAAGTGAGTTTACCAAAATCTTCGGTAATTACAACTTAAAAAATGATGGAATTATTTGTTGTTGTGTGTTTGAAAGTGAGTTTGTAATTGCAGTTAAGTCGTTAGCGGAAGATTAATTTATTCATACTTGAAAGCGAAAATCATAGTAATTGGAACGTAAAGACTCTAAAACGACAATAATCCGAAGTTAAATTATTCTTTTTAATGAAAACTACATGTATCTAAGTAAAATACACATTGTTATTGGAATTTATTACTGTTTTTATCAATATAGAAAATTTTTAATCTGTGTTATTCTATGATTAATTAAATTTAACAGCTGTTCACCGCACATTAATCATGTCCTAGTCACCGCATTTTCACACATTTGCAACATTAATGAAAACGAAAGAAAATTTATTAAGAGCATCATTATTTCACGCTTAGAGACTGTCAGTAGAGAGCTGCGAAGTTCATTAACGACATGTGATAAATACACCACTGAGATTTGTTTTATTCCAGTTGTATTTCAACTTTTGTAGAATTTCTTTGCGCTTTGTGCGTTTTCATTTTTTCTGCTTATTACATTAAACTCTGCGCTTAACTCACGATGAGTCTACGAATGTTATGAGTCTTTACGCGCGATACAATTATGCTTTCTAAACATGAAAAGGAAATCTAAATCTCGCCTGCTTGCACGTCGGACGTTCTACATTAAAGAGTAGTCAGTGGTCGGCGTGCAGAGTACTTTTATTGCAATTACAATCTACAATTTCTCCAGCTCATAAAGAGCATCAAGTCTTGAATGCAGAGTGGACGAAGGCGCACTCGAGTTGGAAACTAATTCATTAGAGGCTACCGAGTCATTACGGCTCGTATTGTTGGTGAAAGATTGCTGAGATTAGTCGCAATTAACTGCTGAGATTGTTATTAAAATGTTGGCAAAAATTACCGCTTCTAGCACAACGCAGTGGAGCTTTATGCAGACTGTAATTGTTGTTGTGTAGCTTGCGATTTAACGTACGAGTGAATTGGTAGCGAGAAAACGTGGAAAGTTTTTTTTAAAGTGTAATATTAAATTAGGTAGGAGGAAAAAAATTTAAATACTCTGGTTAGGTCTTTGATATTGTCTTGGCTTTACTTGTGGCAAATACAGGAAATTCGGTTTTAAACGTAATAAAATGTTGGTAAAAAAGCGTGTTTATCTCGCGGTATTGTGTGTTTTAATTTACCACAACTGCTCAGATCACAAACCGCGAAACAAAAATCGATTTTCCTAGAATTGACGTAGTCACTGTTAAAACTGTTGATAATAAGGTACTAAATTGTTCTACATTATGCAAAAACTATTTTTACATTTACATGGATTATAGAATACATATTTATTCAAACCTGTACAGTTGTGATTGCATTATTTCAACTAGATTTGTAAAATTGCACTAAAAAGAAACATTACCGTATTATAGTCTATAACAAGAATCGCAAAATTGCTGTTATTGTTCTCACTGATTCACAATTTGCAATAAATCAGTATTTGCTTGATACTTCTTTATGAAAGGTGTAAACGATGACTACACATGTGCGCACTCGTTTAAATTCTTAAACTATCAGAGAAGCGAAAATATTTGTTTTGATTGTGTCGCGCATCTTATCTACATAATTAATTATTGCATTGCACAGGTATTTATCTATGTTTGTCTTGAGTTCGTAATTTTACTGTGTTTACATTGTGTACACTCTTGTTTATAGAAGACCGAGAATGTATGTTGTGCAAATATGCTTTCGTTGCTGCTACTGCTTCTGCTACTCTTGTTTTGCTGATTATCCAACTTTGTTTCTGCGCGTGTTTATTTTTAATTTGATGTAACTATTAGTAGAAAATATAGATTTTATTGAAATTTTTTTATTATGCTGGCTAAAAAGTGTTATCTCCGAAAAAAATCAAATGTTTTGATGATTTTCAATGTTTTGCTGAACATTGTTTCATTCAATGTTGTTGTCACTTGATAAGAAATATATTTAAAGTATGCGAATTTACATTTTCTAGTTGGTTTCTATATATGAATAATTTTAACAATTAATCATACTAATTGTCATAGCTACAATTTGTCACTTGTTAAAAAGTGATAAAGAAATCATTTTTCGTGTAAAGTCGTTGATTGCACCATATCGGCAACACTTGAAAACATTAACAAATGAACTGTTACTTAACTGTTTCGGTGCCTAACTGAATCGTACATGATTATGGTTATCACGAAAATATTTGCAATTTTTTAAACACATTTTTAGCTAATACTTTAAAAACTTTATTGTATAAGTGTAGAGTTACAGGATGTTTACTCATTTTTAAATTTTAATTATAATGAAAATGTCAATAAATGTATTAAATAATTCGATAAACGCATAAATTTTGATGGAGTTATAGGATATAGTTTCGGCTTTGGCCTTAATCCTTCCACAGGCGCGTGTAATTCGAATGACAAATTGTAACATTCGCAATCGCATTCGAACAAGTGTAATAAATATGTAAATAATGCGCCAACAGACAATCTGCTCTGTTCACCATGTTGACTAATTGATCAATTTTTGTCTAATTTATGATCTTATTAAGACAATCTACTGAACCAAGTCCAATTTAATGCTCTTATATTTTTTGTCAATTAAATTTTCGAAATTGTGCAATAACAAAGTGCAAATCAATTAAAGTAAACCAACTTTAAGGTCAGAAATGAATTTATTATAGACTGCATAATATTTTTTTAAATAAATTACTTTTTATTGCCGAATTGAAAATTAATTTCCTTTCGTATATGCAAAAAAAGAAAGTTTATGCATAGTAAAATTAATTTTAAATTTCCACATACAGATCAATATTTCATTCGAGTTTTTTTATTATGATTTTCTCTGTGTTTATTTTTTATGTTTGTGTAGAATGCAAAATAACCGTTCGTTTGACTCGCGAGTCGCGAGTTTATGAATGAATCGCATCTACTCGTTATGCTCCATACCTGAACCTCAACATTGATTGCTCCGAGTCTACCTTGCATTTACGGTTTGCGATAGCTGCTTCTCCTGCCGCTGACCGACATTCGGACGCGGCTCGACAAAACGCTGAGCGTTGTCGTCGTTGGCCCCAGCCCGTTCGGATTTATTTGACAACACGAACGCGGCAGGGTAACAAGGCCCGAACAAAACGACGCACAACGTACCGACCGCAAGCAGTCATCGGTAGGAGTGCATCCTGGCAGGAACACCAGCGAATATTTTACATCCTAATTAAAACAAATTGTGTGCATTGACGAACATTACTGTGAAATACAAGACAAGTTTACAAGTGATTTTTTGTGGGGAAATATTTTATCATGGCTAAAGAACTCAAAGGTAAATATTTTAGAAAATTAATAAATTTTAAAATCAATCAAAACGTTTTTTTATTACATGAGGATCATCGATAAAAAATCTGACATGTTGTATAACGCTACTAGTTTAAGTGATAACATACATAAAACAATCCACTTAAGTACCTGTCTTGCTACAGTATGATTAAAGTATTATGATAGCCTAGATTACTTTTTACCGAGAGCACTTGATAAAGTAATCGTCAGTAATCTTTTATTGCTCGTCATTACCAAGAAAGATTCATATTTTTTAAACATAAAACTACTTGAAATATTACTGATAATACAATGTGCGAAAATTATTTTAATATAACTACAAATTGACTTATCTAAAACTAGCATTTTATTTTTAGATAATCATTTACTAAATGGAATTAATGATCTAATGATGTTCGATACTTCGAATTATAAAAGATATTTAAAAGGATTAACCATTGACGCTGATAATGATACTCTTGCCTTTTAGCGTCGATTTTATTTGTCTGCATTTTTCACTAATTAAAACGCCAATTAAACTATATTAAATTCTATGCGTACTTATATTCGTTCCACAGGTGTAGTAAATGACTTACGCCTGCTCAAACATTTGTTTTAACTGGGATTCATTTCAATATACTGCCTTTAAATGTTTGTCATTTTTGAGGTGAACATGCAAAGCCGCTTCGATAGTCTATTAAAGGTCTATTAATGGTGCATTATAGCAACGGTGCATTCACCAGTTGCGGCAAGTTGCAATGTCATTACAAGACGAACGCAGTATAAGTCGATCGAGTCGTATCGAACTAACGCTAATAAACAAGTAAATAGTAAAAAAATCAATGAAATAACTCTCAATGGTTTAGTCTCTGCGATGTTGAGTAATCATGCTATTCGCGTTATAGCAGCAATTGATGGCTTTGAGTTGTTTGTTTGGTTGATTTTTCTTTATAAATTTAGTGGAAATTACCGGGTTTTTTTCTTGGCAAATACGATTATAATTGCAGGCAACATTATTAAAATAAATTGTAAACTTTCTATGAATGCAAGTAATTAAATGATTCATTTGTTTCAAATTAAACGCATTTTTTTATGATTACCATCTTAAATCTTATTTTAACCATGTTTAATATATTTTTGAGCAAAACAAATGCTTGTAAAAATAGAGAGGTTTAAGTCATTAAATAAAGCACTTTTCTTTTATTTGTTGGTTCATCAACATAATGGAAATTTCTGTTGTACACTCGATTCTACTTATTCCACTGGGTAATATTTCTAATTGAAAATTTGTCAATTAGTGCAAAGTGTTTGGTATCTTAAAGCTAATATTGGTATAATTGGTTCAACCATAATGTGATAGTGGAAAAATAGTCAAGATTATTATTTACATATAAATTATTTTAATAGAGGTATATTATTTAAACAATTATTTATATAATTTCTAGATGTTATCTAAATGTCAGTCAATTGAAAATTAGATATGCTCGCAGGAGGTAATAAATAAATGAATAAATAACGTAAACAAATCCTTTTAAAAGTAAACATTTGCTAATGAAAGAAATTAATTTTACTGAGATGCTAATAGCGCACTTGGTGTTTTATTATGGTTTCGGATGGCATTCGCACATTAATTATTAAAAGTATTTTTCATCTGTTTAATTGCAATGACCCACAAAGCAAAATTTTACACTTTATTCATCGCTAAACGTAAACATGAATTATTACTTTTTGTGCTGTCCACCAATCACGGTATCAAATTAATCATAATTGTATTCGTCACTCACCATTAGAATATTAACATTTAGTTATTATCACTAAATAAAGAAGATTTAATATTCACACTATGGAATTTATTTTTGAATTTTTAATTTTTATTTTGCTGCACTATTTGTAAATAAATTATTTTTTTATTAATTGTTTTGTTGTTTGTTGCAACCAACAGGAATTAAAAGTTGATTACAATTTTCTAATTAAGAAAAAAAAATTAATTAATAATTTTAATAGTGCAAACACGCGTTTCTACATAATGTTTCATTTTACAACTCATTAACTCATTAACTATATTCAACGAGAAAAAATATTTAAATAATATCCTCTGCATGTAAATGATCGCTTTTTACCACTTTGTGGAATTCAACGCCTCACTGATTAGAAATCAACATACCTCATAATCACCGGAAAATTCTTCATGTGCAATAAACTCAACTTGAACTCTCTTAAAGTTCATGCGTAAAGGATTTTATCTTTGTTGTTTTATTTATTTCCACCATAAACTTAATGTTTGACTTTATGTTAGGTGAATTGAAGCAAATCGGAATTTTAACGTTGATAGGTACATTTTCCAACGGTTCTTTGAGTTGTTCTTGCGAATGTGATGATATTACAAGAACGCATTTCTTTCTGTGCACAGGTGCCGACAGTATGCTTGGTCTCTCCGAGATAACGGAGAACAAGAAGGTATGGCGGATGATCGTCGCGGAGTTTGTTGGAACGCTCCTGCTTGTCTTTCTGGGATGTGCCGCAGTGATTGAGAACGAGTCCCGGACGCAGATATCCCTTGCCTTTGGTTTGATCGTGGCCACTTTGGCTCAGGTGAGTCAAGTCAAGTGCAAAGTGCAAATATTTATTACATACGATATTATTAAACGTGAGAATACTTGTAGAATGCCATTTTTAGTAAATTTGTAGGCGAAGCTAGCGAAAAGTTACATTGCATAAAATAAGATTATTTCCACATTTTCCACATGTCTTTATGAAACAGTAAGCAAATGTGTAGGAATGTAATGTACTAGTCGAATGTTTTAATGCAATAATTCCTAACCGTGAACTTCAAGCACCAGTGATTTTAGAGTTACGACGACTTTGATGCTTTCAAGATCGTGTCAAAGTTCAAGAAGCAACATTCTCCTATTTCCTAATTCTTTTTTGTCTAACTTCTATTCTTGCCTTGTCTTTGTACATATATTTTATTGTTGTGTTAATTTATTATAATAAAATTAGCATATTAACGAAATTTGACACGTTTTTTGTTGAAATATTAATAGTCTGATGATTTAAGAACAAATGATAAGTTGAAGGTTCTTATCGCAATATAGTTTTAATATTATAATAATAACAATATAAAGAAATTGATATGATGTATTAACAATGAATGTCACGTCAAAAAACTTCAAAAATCAACTGTTTAATTATTCAATGTTAGAGTAATGAATCGTCAATAGTAAAATTCACCAAAAAAAGGTTTAGTAATCAATCAATAGACGAATCGATCAGTTTTACATATTGATCGATTAATTACCAGCAAGGAATGGTGTTTTAAATTTAGAAATATTAATCATATGCTTTTTTATATAAAGCTTAATTGTTTAAAATACAACTACGATTGATTTTGAATTAACTGGATTTTATGCAATACTACATTTCTTACACTATTGGTACAATTTCTTTATTTTAATTTTGAAGGTCAGTGCTTGCAGCTCTTTAAAAAAATCGTTAAAAAGTGTTGCGAGTTAAATCAACTTAAATAAGCGATCTTGACCTGCGCTCGTGGCCGCTGGCTGACCGGCTCTTTGCTTGTTCTTTCTCTTCTTTGGACGCCGCAGTCAGACAGTCTCAATTTCTTAACATTAACAAAACTTCAATGGCCAACGCATAATAACGTATGAACATGATCTGCAGAATTAAACTCAATATAAATGTGTTTATTGTTAGCTGTTACAATATGCACTTCTATACCTACATTACATTTTTTAAAGATTTAGTTCAAATAATCTTATAAAAACTTAGACGTATGACTGAATTTGTTTGCGATGTGAGAGATAATTGGCAATTGTTCCAAATTAGAGTAACGTTTTCGCAATAGTCGAGCACTTGCAATGTTGATTTGCGTTAGATCGATTTGATTAGTGCAGAAAATAATGAAGTTGAATAGGTGTTGAAGTATTGTTTGGTTTTGTAAGAATAGCGATAATTTAACACTGCCTGGAGTGTTTTAAACTCGTAAACTCTAGAATGTCATGTTTAACAAACTAAAAAAGTTTGATGTTTTTATCAACATATGCTCTAAAATGTAGATTCAAATACCTTTTTTAAATATTTTATTTCTTGGCCTATATGGTTGATGGTCTGCATTCTAACTTCTCAATTATCTTATTCGTGTTAGAAGGTTAATACTCATGTGGAGATCTTTTCTGTGTCATTAGCTTTTCCTAATTTTAATGTTTTGACGTCGGACATTCGCATTTGACTCGGTAATTTAACAATAAAAAAAAAACGTTAAATTTCACTCCAAAGAAAAGAAAATAGCGCTCAAATAAAACTCTTAATTTATTTTTATGTGCTTTATACTACGTGAAATTGTAGATTTCTACAAGTAATATTTAATAATAAACATTTGTTATAACTGGAATTGAAGTATTGAAAGTTAATACCAGAATGATTTGCGTTTGATTGAAATACTCGTAAGTAGGTAAATGTAGACATATATTTAACGGTCGTTACCTAAATGTGAAGTACTTGTACGTGAACTTATCAAGTGACGCGTAAAATTATTGTTTTATTAATCATGACAATCAACAACTTACTAGACCAAGGAAATCATTCATTCATTCACAATATCGACAACTAATAGATAATATCAACTTGACTTTTTTGTATTTAAAGCATTCGAACGGAAACATAGTTTCGGTTTTATACCTAGATTTTCTTAGTTCCATCATTTTTTGCGACAAAAAGTAGTCAATCTTCTATTTTGATGAATAAGCAATAAAATTGTAAAGTTTCATCAAAATTTGTTTTGTGGTTTTTACGTGAAAGAGTAACAAACAAACATGAATGCTAACCTTTGCGTTTATAATACATGTTCGAATAAAAATTTACGCAATTTTAAAATTATTTATTTGTTTCTTAAATTTAAAATTTAAACCTACTTACGATTAATATTATTGAAACTTTTCAAATTCATTTTTATGAATGAGTTGCACATAATTATTACCTACCGAAACAGGTATGTTCGCATCGAAACTGCGTGTGGCAAATTATTAAACATGATTAAACACTCGAGCCACGCCATTCATGGCGATCGGCTGGCGAAAAAAGCGTCGTAAAATTACAGCGAACAAAAAAAGTCGCAAATAATAAAAAATGATCAATGATCGGCGCACAATCGAAATCTCGATGCTCGATCGATCGGCGCGCTGTTGATATATTATCAATGGATTGATCGAAAGCGGGCGAAAATCGAATCGGTGAATTTACAAATCGTTCGCGTGCTGAATCATACCAAAAATTGTTAATTAAAATGCACGAGAACCGGTTTAGACGCGAGCGACCGAAAGAACAATACTTCGTTAACATATAACATTTACTTCTACTATGCCCAATCATTACTATCATTTTTACAAAGTGTTTACATTAATTGTATTACAATATCATATCAAATTGAATTTCAAAAAGAAATTGAAATATTTTATAACACTTTGTATTTATGAATAAAGATATGTGGATCATCCTGAAGGCCATTACCAAACATTATATAATTATTCGTTTCACTTTGATTTAAACATATTACATATTTGTCAGTTTAAATATTATCTACGGCGATGAAATTTTGACGCTGGTCTCAAACAGAATTAGATCTCGACGATGCGTTTTACTTGATTGTTCATGTTAAAGGAATGGATAAAAATCGTGACATCGACCTCATTAAATATGCTCGTAAATGTCAAGCCGGAGCCAATGTGTTGGGTCGCTCTTTTTTTACCGTCGTCGGTCCTGGAGTATATTCTAATTACGCGCACATTGTAAATAAATATAATCACCGGTGTAGGATAACACTACGAGTATAATGCACCGTGATGTGTAATGAATTTAATGAGTTTTATAATAAATTATAATAAATTGAAATATCGCTAATCGGTAATTTTATGGTTGGCATTCGTGATTTAAATTTTTTCTATAAATATTGAGGTAATTTATTATTATTTTCATTTTATTGCTGACGAGAATTACATATTTGTTCAATGCGTTTAAAACTAGCCATGAAAATGGAAATATTTTTATTCTGGATTAATTCTCACCGATTGTTATGTTGTGGTTGATTGAGTTCGGAAATAATGCAAAAGGTGAAGAAGGTGTCGAAGGTGTGAAAGGATACTGTGATAATTTATCATCCGACCTGTGGGAAATTGCATAACGTCGGTTGAACGTAATTATCGACCGATGCACGACGTGTCGACACGTCCAATCCAACCAATCAATGTAATTAGCTTAATAACAATAGTAACCCATCATAACGGATAAAATATTAAATATACCAACATTATGAACATGAAACAAACAAAAACGAACTTGGAATAAATGATGTACACTGAGTTGTAAATGCTTATCTAATCAATATACAAAACACGCAAAACTATTAATTTTGTAAATCAAAATATTTAAATAAATAAATATAGAAATAGTTTCTTTTTGGCAATTAAGATAATAGTAGCTAATTTGGATGAAATTTTTAATTTTAAACCCACACAGAACCTTTTGCTACAGGTCCTTTTTTATATTAACTCTCGAAATAAGCATTTTGATATACAAAAATGATTAGTTTCAAGTGTCGTTTGTATGTCAAAACGTACACTTTGCGCATAGTTAAAAAATATATAATTATAGTTATTATAGTTGTCTAAGTGCTACTTTTACACGTGTAATTATAGTTTGCAATTTGAAATATTGACGACGTTGTTATCGATTAGTTTTTATTGCATATTGCAATTTACCGTATAGATAGCTAGTACTTGAAATATGCTATGTGTAAATTAAGAAAGTAATAATATTCTCCTTTCAAAAGTTTGTTTAATATTTAGAAATATAAACTTTAAAAATATTTGATTGCTTACTGTATGTAATTAAAATTTTTATAAGTAAGGTGGTTATAAGTGTTGATTAGGTTTGTATTTGCCACACGCTCATATGTCACAACACACTTTGATGCAATTAATTTGCCATTTGATATTCATTGAGTAGTTTTGATAAACCTTCAGTATTAAATTTTTCGTAATCAACTAAATCAAACAAATCAACGCGAAACATTGGAAATATTCACCAGGATTTGCATACAATACGAATCAGTCTAATAAGTTAAAAATTGCGCAACGCCGACCAATTTGCGGCTCGCGTTTTGTATCTTGCAGATTTGAATTTAAATTTCAAACATTTTGTTTTATCGACATAATGACTATGAGATTGAATGAGACACACGTTTTCGCCGTACCCAAATGGGCTATTTGTTTACATTTACAAGATGTGGATGTTGATGTTGTTATATCATTTGGCGACCCACTGGCTTTGTAATTTTATACGATAGTATGCGATTATACAATGCTATGCGGTTCGATATAGCACTGATTTGAACTTTAAGTGTGTTGAATTATTATAGATTAAACAGACTGCCAATTATTTGCGTTTTGTTTAAATTGGGGTAAAACAAAATGCAAATAAACTGATTGTTTATAATCCAAATCCTGTTGAAATGTTGTGCAATCTTTAATGTTTTTCCTTAATGAGTTTTACTTAATGAAAATGCAAAACAAGAGTATAAA